TGGATCTGAAGTATTTTGCGTAGACAACTGTTAATAAACACCTGTATTTTCCGGATGATGGCTTTTGTAGTTCTCCAGGTTTCTGCCCCATACAGTAGAACTGTGTTGACATTTGTATTTAAAATCCTGACCTTGGTGTTGGTTGACAGTTGCTTTGAGCTCCAGATGTTCTTCAGTTGTAAATATGCTGCTCTTGCTTTGCCGATCCGCGCCTTCACATCTGCATCAGATCCACCCTGTTCATCAATGATGCTGCCCAAATATGTAAAGGTTTTTACATCTTCCAAATCTTCTCTGTCAATTGTGATTGGATCGGTGCATGCTGTGTTGTATCGGAGAATCCTGCTTTTCCCTTTGTGTATGTTGAGACCTACTGCTGCTGAGGCTGCTGCCACGCTGTTCGTCTTCTCCTGCATCTGTTGTTGTGTTTGGGATAGAAGGGCCAGATCGTCTGCGAAGTCTAGATCATCCAACTGCATCTTAGATGTCCATTGTATCCCGCGCTTTCCTTCAGACGTTGACGTCTTCATGATCCAGTCGATCACCAGGAGAAAGAGAAACGGTGAGAGTAAGCAACCTTGCCTAACACCGGTCTTCACTTCGAACGACTTTGTCAACTGTCCTCCATGCACAATTTTGCAGTGTAATCCATCATATGAGTTCTGTATGATATTGACTATCTTCTGAGGCACGCCGTAGTGTCGAAGAAGTTTCCATAGTGTTGTTCTGTCCACGCTGTCAAATGCCTTTTCGTAGTCAATGAAGTTGATGTAGAGTGATGAATTCCATTCAATTGATTGTTCCACAATGATCCGTAGAGTTGCGATTTGGTCTGTACACGATCTATCCTTACGGAATCCTGCCTGTTGGTCTCGAAGTTGGGCGTCTACGCAGTCCTTCATCCTGTTTAACAATACCCTGTTGAAGAATTTTCCCGGTATTGAGAGAAGAGTGATGCCTCTGTAGTTATCACACTTGCTGAGATCTCCTTTCTTCGGTATTTTGATCAGAAGTCCTTCTTTCCAGTCTGTTGGTACTTGTTCCTCATCCCAAATCTTATTGAAGAGAATGTGGAGTATCCTTGCAGTTGCCGCTACGTCTGCTTTTAGTGCCTCTGCCGGGATGTTGTCCGGTCCTGCTGCTTTGCCACTCTTGATTTGCCTGATGGCCATGCTGATTTCTTCAATTGTTGGTGAGCCAATATTGATTGGGAGGTCCATGGGTGCTGCTTCGATGTTGGGTGGGTTCAGTGGCGCTGGTCGATTTAAGAGTTCTTTGAAGTGTTCTATCCACCTGTTTTGTTGCTCTTCAATGTGAGTGATTACCTTGCCTTCCTTGCTTTTCACTGGTCGTTCTGGTTTGCGGCGATTTCCAGAGAGCTTCTTTGTCGTGTCATACAATTGTCTCATGTTTCCTTCTCTTGAAGCCTTTTCCGCCGTCGTTGCTAAATCTTCCACATATTTACGTTTGTCGGTTCTGATGCTCCTTTTCACTTGTTTATTTCCGTGTATTCAGCTTGTGCCTTAGCTTTTTCTGCTCTTGTTCGGCTGGTATTGATCGCTGCCTTCTTGTTTCTTCTTTCTTGAATCTTATCCAGTGTATCAACAGTGATCCATTCCTTGTGGTGGTGCTTCTTGTGACCCAGGACCTCATGACATGTTGAAGTGATTGCCTCTTTGATCCCCTTCCAGTTGCTCTCCACAGTAGTTCCTTCTCCATTGAGTAGATCATGAAAGGCCTGGAACTTGTTGCTGAGGACTATCTTGAATTTGTTGAGTTTGTTAGTATCCTGGAGAAAGGCCGTATTGAACTTTTGTGATACTGTCTGCCCCGTTGTCCAGTGCTTCTTGAGTTTCAATTTCATCTTGGCGACCAGTAAGTGATGATCTGATGCTATATCAGCTCCTCTCTTGGTTCTCACGTCCTCTATAGTCCTCCTGAACGTTTTGTTGATGCAAATATGGTCGATTTGGTTTTGTGTAGAGTGATCCGGTGAAGTCCATGTGGTTTTGTGTATGCGTTTATGTGGGAATACGGTGCCGCCTATGACCAGCTTATTGAAGGCACATAGATTTGCAAATCTCTCACCATTTTCGCTTCTTTCTCCCAGTCCGTGTCGTCCCATGATGTCTTCATATCCAGTGTTGTCCGTTCCAACCTTGGCGTTGAAATCTCCCATCAGAATGGTCAGGTCCTTTGTTGGGCACTTCTCGACGATTGACTGCAGCCTATTGTAGAATTGATCTTTAGCGTCTTCATTGTAGTCGTTGGTAGGCGCATAGCATTGGATGATGTTCATTGAAATGCCCTCTTTCTTTGTTTTGAAGGAGGCTTTGATGATCCTTGGTCCATGAGATTCCCATCCTATAAGTGCATTTTGCGCTTGTTTGGACAGCATCAATGCAACTCCTTGTGTATGTGGTGCATTTTCTTCTTCATGGCCGGAGTATAACAGGAGCTCTCCTGTAGTTAGTCGTTGTTGTCCAACTTGTGTCCAATGTGTTTCACTGATCCCAAGTACCTCTAGGTTGTATCTTCTCATTTCTGCAGCAATTTGGAAGGCTCTTCCGGTGTCCCACATTGTACGAACATTCCATGTACCTAAATAAATGGTTGCTCTGGTTGTCAGAAGGGGCATCGGCCTCGTAACTTCCGAAGGAATTCGGCTTTCATCATGAGGCGTCATAATTCTTCTAAATGAAGACCTTCTGACTCCCAGGGCAGAGTTTAAAAGGTTTGAATAATTTTTTCTGGTTAGCGTTTTTTTAGCGGGTTAGTTTTCTACGGGATGGGGACGCTAACCCCATGCCCAACCCTCCTCCTTTATCCGGGCTTGGGACCGGCAGTAGCCCCCGGAGGGACTCCAGGCCGATGCATATATGTGCCTGGTCCTACATTGTAGATGACTGACCATTACCTTGATTAGTTTATGCTTATTCCTAGAGTTTATTGATAGGGGACTGGAATTTCATAAAGAATATAGATGTAATTCATGTAACAATTATATCCTAATTACGTAATAACATGGTTCATTAGAAAGCGAATGTATACTGACCTAGAGGAGTACGATATTTATAACAACCATTTATTAACATTATCTTTTGAGTCATTAAACTTTATTTCTGTTACCTACTTATACATTGTGCTATTATCGTATAGGATTTTGTACGGTCCCGTGATTCTTTTTTTTCTAACCGGGATCTCAAACAATGACTCCTAAGGTGGTTATGTAGTAAGCGTTTATACAGTGTTGGATTAAGTAACTGTTACAACTATCAAGATACTCATCAGTCATAATTGTGTTCAATGTTCCCAACCCTAATACGTAAAAGCTGATAAAGAATATTTTTAACTCACAACGATGATCTTCACAACATCTAATCTGTTAGTTAGTCAGGATCACTAGCTGTTGTACAAATAGGGTGATTTCAAGTAAACCATGTAAAATTGTAAAAAATAGCCATTGTTTAATTATTATTGATTGTTAATCAGATTACCAAATTAGTCAGTCATGATCAAAGGAAAACTTAGTGTACATATGCGTCAGGCCAAATGCTCACACCTTAATCAACACGATGAAGTGGAATTGATAAGATGAATGTATAAGTGGTTAAAGGTAGTCGGGAGGGAACCATTTATCTTGATTTTATGCTAGTTGGCACTTGTTAGTTAGGAATACTTGCGATATTTTAGCAACTAATGTTCTCTATAGGATTCAAACCCGGATTATCCAGTTTCACAGATTGAGATCTCACTACTGAGCTGTTCGGTCAACGGATTCCTGCCGAATACCTCCGAACAATATCGAGTCACTTAAACTAGTTACCACTTTTCATCTTGATCGATAGAATTCGATCAGTACTGAACAGAGCTCGACGCATATGACATTGGCCACTACTGAATAATCAACCATTTGTAATGTGAACAGTAAGAAAGATGGGATGATTAAACATGCGAATCAAGTGGGAATTTCGTTCTCTGAATTGGACGGTTTGGTCGTAGAGCTTTCATCGTTCCTCTAAACAGCTTTATCAGCTCAAATTTCAGGTAGAAGTCAAGTGTTCGAATTTCTCCACATATGACTCATAGTTTTTGATGATGATATTGTTCAGAAGAACAATAAAAGCTCCACTTCCTAACTATCCAGCTCAGAACGAAACTCCACCTAAATCATCCACGTGAGATATAAATTTTCTCTATCATCCTAATACAAATTAGGGTTTGGAACAAAAATCAGAAAACCAAATGAGTCAAATAATTTTGAAGATAAAGAATGATTAGTGTATATGTTACTCTGCGATTGATTCTGAATCATGACACATTTATTTATTTATTTAAACACATAAACGTAGATATAGGGAGGCACCAAATAGATATACGCCACATAAATCATTCGATTTGTGTGGGGACTGGGACACTGTTCGGGTGTCGAAATCGAAGCAGGTGGTTTTCTTAGGGAGTCACACTCGGAGCCTTCGACTTAAAGGTCTGATTCACAAGGCAGTGGAGCATCGTGAGGAGATGCAGTCGCATGGTAACCAGCGACCAACAATTGGTTCATATGCCATTTGTTCCTTCAGGATACTGGAGCCAGCCCATGTGCACCATTGGTTTGGAATGAGGGTTTTGCAACTCCCCTACGAGGACTCTTTATATACACCAATCCAGTTAAAGCACCGGACATTTGCTTTTCATCCTCTCAATCTCATAAACAACACCCCCGTAGCGAGAAGGCAGTGAGTAGGACTTCCCTGACAGTGGCCATGTTAGAGCATTTCGACAGAGTGAGAGCTGATTCTCCCCACTCTCGGCCGTACCAACATTGGTCACAGTTATCACAAAAATCCCAACCAGATTAGTTTATACTTAATTATAACATCGCTCAGAATATCAGTTAACTAGTCTCAGATTTAAATATCTTCTCATTTCCTTGTTTTAATTTGTTTCTTTTTCTTTTTCATGTCACAAACACACACACACATACACACGTGGATGGATAGTGGTTCAGATGTTGGCAATATTACTGGTTCAGTACATGAATCATTTCTTTCTTCATTTTCACCATTTAATCAATCATTCATTAATTTTGGTTTACCATCTACAACGGAATCATTTTATACAACATTTAGTCGTGATATACAAAAAGAATTATATTTACAATTAAAACAAGAACATGAATTACGTATGGATGTATTACGTTTACAAAAGCAAACATGGTTATTACAAATGAATTTATTTAAAAAAATGAAAATTGAACAAATTTCTAGTTTATTCTCATCGCCTAGTTTAATGATGAATACAACATGTGTTACACCTTTAACTAATACTAATACTACTGCTACTACTTCTATTACTGCTAATTCGACATCGTCTGTTGCTACTACTACCACTACTACTACTATTGATCCTGTAAGTAGTATAAATAGTACTTGTACTACTTCAATATCATTGAATACAACAACTGTAACAAATGAAACAATTATGCCTACAAAATTAACAAAGAATAAAGAAGTAATAGAAGTAGAAGAAGAAGAAGAAGAAGAAGAAGAGGAAGGAAAAGAAGAAATGGAATCACAATGTATCATATCAAATAGTTCTTTATCACCAATGTTTCCACAAGATGGTACAAATGGTATTGGTAATCATGATCATCAACAAGAAAATTTGTTAAATGATAATTGTAGATTAAATAATAAAAGAATGGAAAAACAAGAAGCTTAATAGAATCTGCTTTGTATATTGTTAATTCAATTAATTATTGAATTTCATTTTATTTAATAATAATTGTTTTAACTATATGGTCTTTTGATAATTTATTAAACGCTCGCGCGTGAGATTGATAAGTCCTGGGTTCGAATCATATGAGGCGGGATTGTGTATGCGCACTGACGAGGAGTCCCACAATGGGACGAAACGGCCGTCCAGTGCTTCCAGGTTTTCAATGATCGTCTAGCTTCAATTGACTCATCATCTTGTAGTGTGGCGTGGAGTCACGGTTGACTATGATCACCACTACAGGAAAACTAAGTGCCAGTTAACCGTAAGCCAAATATCAGAAGGCAATTCATGGCTGTAGTCGAGATGTAATTGTTGGCGATCTCGTGGTATCGAAAGAATACCGATATCTTGCCAAAGGAGTACAAGTGTGGTTACTGAGCGTAACCGAATTCGTGCAAGGTCACAATCAACGGAAGAATGTATGTATTCTGGTACAGTGAAACAAACAAGTACGGTAAAACAATCCCTGGTACAATTGCTTATAATAATAATTGTTTCCATTACACTAATCGCGTTCTCTTGATAAAAGTAGGTCACTATAATCTCAACCAATGTTATTTCATTTTTGGTGTCAAGGGTTTAGCTATTTAATTGCGTGATCATTTATCAAATAGAACTCAAATCAATAGGTTTACTTAGAGAAATCGGGGTTTTGGGTGAGACTATAATTTATGGATGACCTTTGAGCGAAGCTAGACTAACCTTGAGAGTATCCATCTAATAACCCGGACCAACTGAGGGTTAAAAACCTGTGTGTGAGGAATTAAAATTACGATTTACAGTTGATGATTAAGGTTAAGAATTAGATTTCAGGTTTTCATCACGAACTGACATCAGCTATAATGCCAAGAAGCTATTTAGCCAAATAGATGAATGAACTTTGTGTCACAATTCAAAACCTGTTATCTTTTATTTGATTGGTTCGTTCATAGTGTGATGAAGCATCCACTGTCCAAACAAAATGGATATGGTAAGTAAGAACTAGGCTTAATAATCAGATGTTAATTCAATCAAGAGTGAGTGACCTAGAAAATAAGCGCCCCCTATTATTTTTTGGAACTTTATCATACTTATTTTTCTGGTCGTAGTTTCCAAATAAGCATACTATTTCATTAGGTTCAAGATTTATTCATCTAGTTCATGACGCTGATCTTGTCTGATCCAATTTATTCAAGGGGTTGTATCAGCAATATACGTAAGTGAGTAGTTATTACTCAACCACATCGTATAACTGTGCTTTATCTATCAATCAGCATTCTGTAAACTCGTTCCAATGGAATAAATGCCGTTGTGCGATTCCTCAAAAAATCTATAATCACACTAAGTCACACATAAAAATTACATAGGATGGATGACACGATTATTATTATTGTTATCTCATGTTATCTATAGTTTATCCCGTTAGTTTTCTCTTTTCTTATTCATATACAAAGTATATGCAAACTTGCAGGCACAAACTATTTATCTATTATGACTTGTTTTTCTGTAGCAAAGCGATGGTATGTTTGTGACTACTTAAGTTGGTTGGTTAAGAGTTGGCCAGATCCATTATTAATCAAGTGTTTATTTACTTCCTTATCTTTTAAATAGGCTGTAGCGTGGCGTCGAGTTGAGGTTAACTATGAACACCGCTACCAAGAAACACGTGCCAAATAAATCAGAAGGCGAGGGTTGGACGTAACTAAATAGATCCATAAAATCCCCGAGAAGCCAAATACCAGAAGGCAATTAATGGACCAAGTCGACGTTAATTTGCTGGCGATCTCGTGGCATAGAAAGGATACCGAGATCGTGCCAGGATACAAGCTTGGTTACAGAAGGTAACCGAATTCGCGCGAAGTTACAATTGAAGTGTAAGTATAAGAATGGAAGCACAAAATAGCTGTCATTAGCACAGTCAAACAAAAGCACATTAAAACAAACACTGGTACAGTTGGTTATAATAATAATTGTTTTTATTAAACCAGTCGTGTTCTCGTGATAAACGTGAGTCACTACAAGGCATCACATTTCCTAACATCCCATGTTGAATGTCTTACTAAATAATAAGTAAAATGTATAATGTGCCAAGTTTTTCAGGCTTCAAATCTAAATAATATTGTTTGCTATATTACCACTCTGATTTGGTATATTTTTGTCTCGATATATCGAATTCTCAATGAACTGGCGTTTGTAAATAGATTTCAACAGAAGTAAACTTCAGTACATTATGAACTAAAAGATAGGGTCGCGCGTACGTTTTGAACAGGGTCAGAAAAAATTCTGAGGTGATTACGCCAACTTGTCTTAGCATAAAGTAAAGAATTGTAATGACTTAGCTGCATCCACCATGTAGCTTTAGCTGATGTCTAGGCTCACCATAGTTGTGAACATGAAATCACTCTCTGAAGAGATTGTAGCGTGGCGTCGAGTTGAGATCAACTGTGAACACCGCTACCAAGAAACACGTGCCAGATAAATCAGAAGGCGAGGATTGAACGTAACCAGATTTATTTCGTTGGCGATCTCGTGGTATTGGACGAATACCGAGATCGTGCCAAGAAGAGGTACAAGCGAAAGCGGAAGACAGGAGTACGTGCGAACAGTACCAAAAACCGCGGAACAATGATGGAAGGTAATGGAAGCACAAAATAGCTGTCATTAGCACAGTCAAACAAAAGTACATTAAAACAAACACTGGTACAGTTGGTTGTAATAATAATTGTTTTTATTAAACCAGTCGTGTTCTCGTGATAAACGTGAGTCACTACAGGAGCCCCCCGCTAGAAAGGGTTTACACTTTCGATAAATAGCGGTTTGAATCGTGGGACTGATCGGCTGATGAGCGATTGTAGGACGGAAGAATTGGCGAACAGGAAAGCGATCGTTGATCGTCGAGTTGCCAACGAAGGTCGTTATCGGAGAACGGTACCAGGAGCGATGTGTTGTATTTATTGCTTGAGTTGGCATGCTACACCAGAGTGGTTTGTATCCAGAATCTGAAGAGGGCGTTCGTAGAGGTGCGCACCAGAAACGCTGCAGACGTAGGACGAAACCACGTTGAGCCGAAAGACCAGAAGCGACCGTTACGACCAAGTTCGTGACCAAGCGTGTGCCAAGCGTTCGAAACCAATATATCGACTGAGTGCGTTGACAAGAGCATGGGTGATCAAGCCAGCTTTCGCCAAAGTTGACTGAAGTCGACGGAACCAAACGTAGATGGTCGAAGGCGTGGGCTCAGGAAACAAAAAGAAAATCAAAAAAAGAAGAGTGTAGCATGCGTGTAGTATAGGAATAATCCTACACCGTATCGGTTGTTGACTGTGCGACTATTCGCGGAAGCGTACGGGTAACCGTACTCGGCGACCGGAACGTGAGACGGCAGTCTCGTTCGCGTCGCGTGAGCCTGCAATCTCATCCGAAGTCAAGGGCGGCGTGGTCTGCTGATCTGGACGTGAGACTGTCGTCTCGTCCGTAGACGGTGCAGATGACGCGTGCTGTTGACTGGGACGTGAGAATGAGGTCTCAGATGCATCTAGCGTGGGACCTGAAGATGATTTGAGGATCCCGCTAGTAGGTTTGCTAGGTCTAGCATTGAATCTCAGGTTGTCAGATAGGGCACTGTCATCGACGTGTGCTGGTTTGAGACGATCAATGCTGACGATCTCGACGCGGCCGTGTCGATCAACCTTGAAGGTCTTTTCGTGACGAGCGATCACGTGAAAAGGGCCTTCGTAAGGTTGTTGCAAAGGTTTGCGTACCGAATCTACTTGTATGAAAACATGTGAACAGGTAGATAACTCTCGAGGGAGAGCGACCTGTCGATGTTGTATTCGAGTTGACACCGGAGGCAGCGTTCGCATAAATGCAGACAGTCGTTGGACGTAGTCTGATTTAGCGAAATTAGGTCTGCTCCGTGGTGTGAAGAATTCCCCGGGCAGACGCAATGTCGTGCCGTATACAAGTTCAGCGGCGGAACATTGGATATCTGCCTTTAAACTCGTTCTGATACCTAAAAGAACGAGCGGTAAGGTTTCGTACCAGTCGTCGTTTTCGTGTGCTCGAAGAGCACTTTTAAGTTGCCGGTGAAACCTTTCAACTAAACCGTTTGAAGCTGGATGGTAGGCGGTAGTGCGTGTTCGTTCCGTACCAAGCAGCCGAGTAAGTGAGGAGAATAGTGCGGACTCAAATTGTTGTCCTCGGTCAGTCGTGACAGTCGAGGGACAACCATATAGAGCTATCCATCGTTCTACGAAGCGGTGAGCAACTGTCTCCGCCGTGATAGACGTGATGGGTATAGCTTCGGGCCATCTGGTGAAGCGGTCGATGCACGTGAGTATGTGACCATACCCGTGCGATGGTGGCAGTGGTCCTACAATGTCTAAGTGAACGTGATCGAAGCGAGCATCAGGCGTAGCGAATGTACCGAGGGGGGCGGCTACGTGCCTGTGCACTTTTGATCGTTGACATTGTAAGCATTGCTTAGCCCACATACGAACATCTTTATTCATGGACGGCCAGACGTATCGTGCAGCGATGAGGCGTAATGTAGCTGCGATACCTGGGTGAGATAATCCATGCAGGGCATCGAATACGAGACGGCGATAAGCAGAGGGTACGATGGGTCGAGGAAGACCGGTAGAAGTATCACATAGAATGGTGCCAGAAGTCGTGGCTAGAGGTACTTCCTGATACTGAAGGGACGTAGAGTGTGGTGCTTCTGTACAGCTGGGATCGTTTGCTTGGGCAGCGGCCATAGCAGGAAGATCGAGCACCGGCAGGGTAACTGCATTCATTTGGATTCGTGATAGAGCATCGGCAACACAGTTCGACTTGCCTTGGATGTGACGAAGGTCTGTCGTGAACTGGGAGATATAGTCCAAATGTCTGCACTCTCGTGGTGAGTAGCGGTCAGACTTGGTATGCAAAGCATACGTTAAGGGCTTATGGTCGGTGAATAAAATGAATCGACGTCCTTCTACTGCGTGCCGAAAATGTTTGATGGCGCAGTAGGCTGCTAGCAGCTCGCGACCAAAAGCGCTATATCTCGTCTCCGTGGTAGTGAGGCGTCGTGAGAAAAACTCGAGAGGTTGCCAACTACCGGAGATGTTTTGTTGCATGACTGCCCCTATAGCAACATCGGATGCATCAACCGCTATACTAAGCGTGGCTGATGGATCGGGATGGGCGAGAAGAGTGGCTTGCGCAAGAGCCGTTTTGATTTCGGTGAATGCAGTACGTGCAGAATCGTTCATTTCCAATCTGCGTGGGTTGCCGCGAAGTAAGTCGGTTAGTGGTCGTAACCGTTCTGCCGCATGTGGGATGAAACGACGGTAGAAGTTAACCAAACCGAGAAATGCCTTCAGTTCCTTGAGTGAGGACGGCACGTTGTACTCCTTTATTGCTTGCACTTTGTCCTCACAAGGTAGAATACCCTCTTGCTTGATAACATGACCCAGAAATATTATTTCTCGTTTACCTAACTCGCATTTGTCTGGGTTAACTACTATTCCGTTATCCGAAAGGCGTTGGAATAATAGCGTAAGATGTTGATAATG